TGGGGGCACCCGGCCCCTTCTCCAGGGCACCCCCCTGGGAGCAGCTCCCGGCTCTGATGCCGCAGTGTCCCCCCCTCCCGGCCTCCATCTCCTTGCAGGCAGCCCTGGGCTGCGGGGGCTGCGTGTGCCCCCGGGGAGGGGGCAAGAGGAGGTTGGAGCTTCCCAGGGGAGAAACCACCAGCCAGGTATTGCTGGGGGCAAGAAAGGTTGCAGAGGAAGCAGTGTGGAATTCCCAGAGGGATTTCCCCTGGTTGCTTGTCATCTGATCCTTCCTGGGGATGAACTGCTGCTGGTTAGCTGCCGGGTTTGGTGCGGGAGGTGGCGATGCGTTCCGGGCAGGCGGGCAGCGTGCGGGCAGCTGAACATCCATCCCCGGGGGGTTCCCGTCCGGGGGCTCCTGCTCGCAGACCTCGGACACGCTGCCTGCGGGCTGGTCTGACGGCAGCGCGGGCCCCGGGGGTGGGTCAGCAGCCCGGGCTGCCGGGAGCCGCACGAAACCCTTCCCGGCAGCTCCGGCTCTGGCACCGGCAGGGCTGGGTCCTGCGGCCCCCGCGCTGCTGACACTGCGGAAAGTCACCGCAGCACCCGGGACACGGGGTGAAACCCCTCCCGGAGTTGCAGTCCTGAGTTGCTTTCAAGCCCTCGCGTCGCTGTCAGGTTTGTGGCAGAGCCAGGTTTTGCAGCAGCACATCAAACAGGGAGTGGAGTGTTGGTCCCATCTGCCTCCCAGGGGACATCTGCGGGGGGCTCGTTTTGCAGCTGCTGGGGACAGATGGTGCAGGGGAAGGGAGGACACGGTGACAGCTGAGGGAGCGGCTCTGTGGGACGTGGCACCTCCGTGTTGTCCCTGGGAAGGCAGAGGCTCTGAGGAGAGTGGGAGTTCTGAGTCAGGCTGGGGGTCGGGATGAGGTCGGAGCCAGCCATGAGCGTGATGGGGCAGGAAGGACTGGGAAGGGAAGGCAGGTGTCTGGTACCAGCACTGCTGGCAAAGAGCCACCCTCGCCAGATCTCATCCTTCAGTGCACGATCCGTGGTACACTGAGCTCATGCAGCCTGCTCAGAGACTTGGTTTTAATTAAAATATTAATGAAGGAGACTGCAGAAAGGAAATGGAGCTTTGACAAACACCCTATGATTTAATCTCTACCTCTCTGCAATTCCTTGCTGTCCCCCTGCAGCAGGGCAGGTCTGGCAGAGCCAGAGCTGGGTCCAGCCCAGAGGCAGCTCCATGGCACTGGACACTCTGGAGAAGCACAGGGAAGCCAGCAGGCTCACTCCTGGGCCTGGACCTTGAGTTTCTGGGATGCTCCAGAGAGGTTATTCATGTGGAGTGGAGAGCAGGGAGCCCCAGGAGCCTGGTGCCTCCATTGAATGAGAGCTCTGCTCCTGCCCTGGCCTGGGGTGTCCAGCAGCAGGACAGGACAGGGCTCAGTGTCCCTCCCAGGGAAACCAAAGTGCCAGACTTGGAGCTGGCTGGGTGTGCTGGGGGAACCAGAAAGTCTGGGAGCAGCAAGGGGCCCATTGCACAGGGGACTCATCTCTGGTTTGACCAAAGAAGAAAAACCAGGGGGAAACCATGGCCATGATGGTCAAACCGGTGAGAAACCCTGAAAGGAGGAAACCCTCCAAGGGCTCTGCATTGCTGCCTGGAGCTGGGAGCTGCTCTCCCAGCAGGGACGCTGGGGAGCTCCTGGAACTCCAGCCACATCTGAGGCCAATGTGGACTGCAGCAGGGAGCTGGGAAATCCAACCATCCCCTAGTGCTCTGCAACCATTTCCCAACCTGTTCAGGGTTTTGGGTTTTTTTCCCCTTATTTCTTTAATTTCTAATTATCTTTCCCCTGTGCACACACACACACTTGGCTTTTGTTTGATTTTTTTCCAAGACGGGAGCTTTTAATTACATCTTGATTTCAGATTAATTACAGTTCTACCCAAAGCAAAGGGCTTTGTGCTTTATAATTCAAATGCCTCCCCATTCAGCCCACAGGCTGGGTTATCTCTGCCTCCAACCGCCGCCGCGTCCTCCCGCTCCCACCCCCGGCGGAGCCGCCCTGGCTGTGTCCCGGGGCTTCCCGCAGGACCGGCAGCTCGGTGCGGGGGGCAGCACACACAGCTTCCCTCCCTCTCCATCGCTTCCCGAGCAGGCTCCAAGGGCGGCTGATGACAGGGTAAAACGCGGCATTCAAATCTCGCTCCTTGCTGAGGGAAGGCAGAGCCAGAGGGCAGCTCTGCAGCCAGGAGCTGCTCCCGGGGGCTGGAGCTGTGCGACCTGAGGATCCTGCTGGAGCCGAGGCTGGCACTGTGCTCCCCACCCCCCAGCCCTGCGCTCCCTCCCCGCTGAGGGTGCATCTGAGTAATCCCAGCGATGCACGGACACTTTGGATTGTCTGTATCCATCTCTCTCCTTCTCAAATCCCGGGGCACCATGCAGAGCTGAATTCCGGGACATCCAACTCTGCTTTCCCATTTCTTTCTTCAAAGACAGCTGCTCAGGCTCTCCGGGATGGGCACTGCCCTTCCATGGTGCTGCAGGCACTCTCCGAGGCTCTGCCAGAGATCTCCAGGCCCTGGAGCAGCTTTCAGCCCCTTGGGATGACACGCACTCGTGTGCCAGCTCCATCCCTCTCCCATCCCTGCCAGCACAGCTCCAGGACAGGCCCCAATTTATGCTCCTGGGTTAATGGGGCTGAGACAGGGTTTTATGCTCCTTCCATCATGGAAATAGGAAGCTCATCATGATAAGAGCTTTAATTTGCTCTAGCTGACCTTTGCTGGTGGGCTGGCTGTCCTGCCCGGCCAGGACCAGCGGGTGCCAGGCCACGAGCCTGCCCTGCTGCTGTGGGATGTTGCCCCGCACCCCATGTTCCCATGGAACACCATCTCCCCGCTCCTCATCCCTTCAGCTGGCCGTGCCGTGCTGTTCCAAGCTGGACCATGCTGAGCTTCCTGGCCTCGTACCCTGCTGTCCCTGCTGCCCCGTACCCTACCGTGCTGTACCGTGCTGTACCATACTGTACCGTACCGAGCCGTGCCACACCGTGCCGAGCAGTACCGTACTGTACCATGCCGTACCGAGCTGCACTGTGCCGTACCAAACTGTACCATCACCGTGCTGTCCCGTCCCGTGCCGTCCCGTACTGAGCCGAACTGTACCATGCCGTACCGAGCC